CTTGTCGGTATCCAAGACACTCTCGTCCATTGTGGACGACGATCAACAGTCCACCACGTTCTCTTCTGGAACTGGTGCGACTATCTCGTGGATCTTTCCTTCCTTTGATTCGGACAGGAACATATCCCACGTCATCTCCGAGAGATTTACTATCACCTCGGCAGATGCCAAGACAAGTTGGGGCACCTCAACTGAGGATGCCTCCGGCATTTTGTCTTCGACGGCCTCGAACAACTCGTACGTAGGTCCGTCCGCTTGGAACGAGACTGATCCAAGGGTCGCTCGTTTCGACGTGCCCTTGATCATCTTAATACGTCTGGTGCTCGTTCTTCGAGTCACCACGACATTTGACATGGAATAAGGTGTCGTTGCTATCTCAGCTAACGCACTCCTTCCAACCGCACCAGGCTCATGGCTCTGTGCCGGTTCTTGTGGCGCTTGACTTTCTGTCAGTCCACCATCAACTGTCACAGGCATCGGCTCTGTGCAGGACAATTGGACGCATGGCCACTTGTCATCGTCCCATTCACTACACCATTCTTTTCGAGATGGGTAGGAATTTGTGTCGTCTGACTATCTGTCAGGACACTTCCAACTACTACAGGCTCAACGAGCTGGGTAGTACCTGGTGTCGATTGACATACCGTCATCGCGCCCTCGACTGTGTTGGACACAGCATCAGTCACATAAGCCTCTCGCAAAAAACACATCCTTTCCGGTGTCTTGCGTAGAGCTAGTGACTGTGCGTGCACGTCAGTCTACCCATGGTTGGTGTTTAGCCAACCAAGGCATGCCTAGGATGAGGTCATACGGACTCTCCATACCACTGCGAACTTCTCTTTACAAGAGAAGTCAATAAAGCTAAAGGAGGGTTCAACTTGAACTCCCTCCGATTTAACGAGCGCGCCGTTTGCTAAGCAAACGATCGCTTCTTCTCGCTTAACAACCTAACAAAGCGACTTAAAACTCGCCGGACTCTTTTTCGAAGTCGCGAGTTTCACAAAATCTTGTGATGCACCCAAATCAACGAAAAGGGTAATCACTTAATCATAGCCTCGTACTCGATTTATATTCAAAAAATGCAAAATATATTTTAAGCGCTATAGTGTTAGAAGCTATTGATGTTGGCAGGTCGTGAAGGTTTAAGGGCAATATCCTGTCACGCGGTAAGTAACAACCGTACTTGATTGGCTAAACAAACTTGACGTGCTGACAGATGGGACGAGGCGACGATATCGCCACGTCGGACCACCAGGATGTTGCGATATATGTGACGAGGCGACGAGGCGACGAGGCGACGAGATTAACACATCGTCTTGTCGATGTCGTAACAGATGGGAAGGAGCGGGATAGACGTGAACTATAGATGGTATAGTTGCAGTCGGTTTCGCATGCATGTGTAGATATCAACGAACGAGGAAAGTTAATGCCTAATATATATCACTTTTACTTCTGCATCTTCTGCAACAAGTGCAGCAACACTACTACCAATTTCTTACATATAGACCAAAAGGGTTAAGGTCCGACCTTTCGGAACCTCAGGGCTATGCTACCCATTTGTTCGATCACTTTGAATTTAGGGGTCCGTGACAGTAGGGCATCCCGCCTCTGATGAGCTCCCACATTTCCCGACCCATCTTGGGCAGGTGCTGAACCCGTGCGTCGTCCACGCTGGTTTTTTGCACCTCCCTTTTGGTAGGGTCCCTCCTTGCTGGGTGTCTTAGCACCAGCAGCAAGTTTGACATTAGCAGCGAGCCATCATATGGCCTCGCTTGCCGCACTTGTAGCAGATCACATCTGCATTGCCTAACTCCACAGGAGTGGCGTCCGACCTCTCGGCCGAAGGCTTATAATAAACTGTCGCCGAGGCACTGTTGTAGGATTGCTTCTCAACCATGACAATTTTAATGGCCTCCTCCATCGTCTTTGGTACCTTTCTAAAAAGGACCTGATGCGATGGTCCGTGCCGTAGTCCGTTCATGAACGTAGGCACCTTAATGTGTTCCGGTATCGGTTCCACATTAATGGACGCAGCCAGCGAACGAATCTCCTGCACATACCCTTGCAGAGATCGTTTCACCTGTCGTGCTCCAAAGAAGCGCGCCATAAGCAACACTTCATTATTAGGCGGATGATACATGGCGCGAATCTTTGTTTTAAAGATCGCCCATGATGGAAATGCATCAGCATTTGTCATCAGCGCAGAGTACGCCCACTCTGACGCTATGCCACGCAAGTTGGACATGGCATACGACACCATTCTGGTGTCGTCTTCGATGAGCTGCGCCACTCCACATTGCGCAACTGCTACTAGCCAGTGAACAATCGTGTGAGGGCTAGTTCCATCAAACTTCGGAGGATCCATCCGAATGGGCCTCGGTTGAGCAGGCCGGGCAGAGAGCGTCCCAACAGTTCTGTTGAGCGCCTCATTCCGTGCCTGTTCAAGCCTAAGCTCATCCTGAATCTTATTGATGGACTCAGCGGTGGCTTGGCATTTTACCTCGGACGCGTTTCTACGCTGTCCGAGCACAAATGCCTCAAATTGATCCAACTGAGCAACATGTTGCTCAGAAGGACAATGCAAGAGGTTGACCAGGGCTTGTTCACCAAGTCCCTGCGCCATATGCTCTGCCAACTCCCTATGGTGTTGGGAGAGGTGAGGGAAGTCACTCCAGTCCATATTAAGGACCATCTTAACCACACGCATGCTCAGAAAGACGGGTCGTGGGAAGGACTACTAGTGCTACCAAGTGTAGACGGGCACTTCTACGAAGTTGCCTCGTACTACTAGCACACACTTTATGCACAAGCGAGGAAAAGGTTAGACCATCTTACCTTCGCGTGCGAGGGTAGTAGTGTGGTTGGTCGACTGCTTAAGCAGTCGTACCACCAGTTGCCTCTCGCTTAAGCGAGAGTGCAACGAACTTCTTATCAAGAAGGCACCGACGTCACGCAGAAGCTTTTCAGCTTCTCGTGCGTGGTGCGTATGTTTAAGCAAATTCAAGACTGAGCTATATTTAATTAATTATAACTAAATATATACTTAACTACTGATTGGCTATACATGTATATAGATCGGATACGCGACTCTTTAGAAGCGTATCCTGTCGCATGAACTTAAATCTAGACTTAAGATCGCAACTGACGTCTTTCTGAGACGTCGCGATGCCTAGCTTCAACTAGCGTCATCCCTTCTCATGTGAATCCATAAATGGATATCACATTCACGAGGGTATATCACATTTGTGTATCGCACCCAAGAGACAGGTCAAAAGTAATCATGGATACCTTTAGACTTTACATTAAGTATATTATATAATGTTTACGTGTAACTAGCTGCCCTGTTACATCATTCACAGCGGAGGTAACATCACTCAAATTCGTTAACATAACACTAGTGTCTATCGATCGTTGACATCTCACTCACTCCATACACCACTTACTGTAATTTGGACAGTGCAAGAGCCTTGTGTATCTGGGCTCATAACCTGTCGCAATGCGCAAGTCAGTGTCAACGTTCTGTACCGTTAGCAATACAAAGTAGAGAATATAATACTATACACTTTGCTTGCCAGAGAGCGACATTGGGATTAAGAAGGAAACCTCAAAGGTGACAATCCCCTGTTAGTTCTAGACCATACAGTATACTCGAATCAGTGTGTTCATAGGAGGGAAATCCTTGAAGGTGGCAACCCCCTCTAATAGACCTAGACCATACATTATACACCAATCGGTGTATACCTTAACTGTAATTGTACCAACTGTAACTGTGCCAACTGTAATTTTACCAACTGTAACGGTGCAGATCAGCATCATATTGAGTCACACAATACCCAGGAACACGACATCTTGCACTTCGTCACAAGTCTCATGAAATTGGCGGGAGATAGATCACTGGGTGTTGAACCTTGAATGTTTAAAGAATATTGTCTGGAAGTGATTTTTAAACTCTATGACTTAAGCTTTTGTCACTTGAGAAGTACAAGCTTTTGCTCAATTCGGTTCAGATTTAGATGCAACTACTCAACAACAATTAAATAGAGGGGTTCGTCTAACTGAAATATTAAAACAAGGCTTAAATAAACCTTTATCTGTCGAAGATCAAATAGTGATTATTTATGTAGGTGCTCGAGGTTTCTGAAGCTGAATTAGTTTCAGGTTATAATGTTGAATATTCTGCAATGGGATTTGCATTATTTTTTTTAGGTGAATACGCAAATATGTTATTAATGAGTAGTTTAACTACTATTTTATTTTTAGGCGGTTGGTTAGCCCCATTCCCATTTAGTATTAAATTTATTAATTTCTTACCAGGATCTTTTTGGTTTAATAATTTTTTAATGATGCATCCAAAACATCTCTTAATCTAATAATTTCATTTGAACTTGAAGGATTTGTTGATACATTAGCCACTGTTCGTGCAATTACACCCCCAATTGGCGGTAAACCTATTGATGTTAATGCCATTGAACCCACTAAACCCATCCCTGCATACAAAACTCTTCGACGATTTAAATTAATACGTTTATAGGATCTAACTTGTTATATTTTTTTCGTTCTTTATGTGCCGCGAATAGCGATAGGTGTCTTCTGAAAAAGTAATTTTAAATATTGTTATTTTTTTATTTATTTCTTTAAGTTTCATGTATATGTAGTAGCAATGTTTTTATCCATTTTTTATTTCTATCAAATATTTTTCTCTTTTATTCAAATTTAAATTATTTATTATTTTTGTATCAATATATGTGTATTCATTCTTAAACAATACTTTTTAACTAAACCTAATTTTGGCGCCGGGTAAAAAAATAGGTTTTTATTTTAAACCATATTAAAACATAATGTTTTTATATATATGCTGAACAGGAAGTAAAGAAAAGAAATGCTGAACATTTTGACCAATCAGAGTTTTATAAATGTGGGGTGGAATAATGGCAACCAAAAGGTGATATATAAAACTTTTAATCATATTTAACAGGTTTTGAGCTCATTCGAAAATTACCATGGTAAAACCACAGGACCTATTACCTCGCTGGTTAATGGATCATCATGACAATAATATATCAGGTGCTCCCGATCGCATCCAATTAGTTCCTTTGATCGATGGGTTTACTCCTTCAGGCTGTAACGATCGTCCTGGAAAAATCGTATGTGATTTCCCTCGAGATCATCCAGGGACCTGCGCCGTAGTCGATGCTGCAGTGTCTGAAGAGACAGCCGATTTGTTATATGCCAGCGCTGTCAAGGCGACAGTATGGGGCACTTATGTGTCCGTAAATGAATTAAAAAAGCAAAGCACGACCTCTTTAAATGAAAATGTACTGGAATCCGATGAGATGCAAGACCCAAATGCCTATCGTCACGCTTTAGCTCGACGAACAATACAAGAATTTTTAATGGGAAATGCCGGGCACTGGATTACTCAGAACGATTGGGACCGTACCCATGGTGTTGCTGTGTGGGTAATTGCATCAGAATGCAACGATGAGACTGAGTATCATTTGGACTATGCCGAGCAGGTTCGATACGAGTCCAACGTGATATTCCCTCCGATTTACGGTGCCACACTGCACGTGAGTCCGCTATATAGTGACATCAATGATGTGGCTGTCGCTAGTAAGGGAAGACGGACAAGCTTGTTCGAAGGTGGAGGCTTTTACGTGAATCTTACAGGCTTGAAACACTATGAGAAGTACGGCTACAAGACGCGCAAGCAGCCGCATCGGTTGACTACAGACGTGCTCGAGCAGCTGAGTGAGACCGAGTCAGGATGGAAACAAATATCATATAAGTATCGGCGAGGAATCGTGTGTGACGGAGAGCTTCCTCACTTTAGCGGTCGTGTTCGCTCACTCCCGGCATCGATGTCACCTTCGTCGAATACCGGTACAGAGCTTCCCATGAAGCGTGTGGTGGTCGGTTTTAACCTCTTTCCGAGCGAGATCGGTGCGTGTGTGGCAAGGTTTCCGGAACACAGTGGCGCCTTTAATCGCTATGTAAAGCTCTCCCAGGCCGCTGCAAAGCAGACGAACAAGGGTGGATGGACGCTGGCCAGCGTGCGTGCCAACCCGAAGCAAGCGGCGTTTCTCAAGCTGCTAGCACGAAAGGTACGTGAACACGAGAAGCAGACGTAGAAGACTGCAGCACTACGTTGGCTACGTTGAAAGCTACATGATAATGTGGAAGGACTGTGCTACTACTCTGATATCTACATGGATTAACCGACATCTCTTATGGTACGAGACTAGAGAGTGCTAGTTGTGGCGAAAGAACTTGAGACTGACCCAGTTGGCGTAGCAGGCCAAGATGGTCACGGGGATCGTAAGTGGCACCAGGTAACAGTAGTACACGTCTCTTTCAAGAGCGAGCAACAAATTGGACCTTTCTGTTTCTTGTTTTGAGCTGACGATTGTCATGTGGTTGACATCTTCGACCACCTCGAGGGTCTCTGGCAGCAACAATAAGAGCTTGGAAAAGACCATGACGTACCTGGAGATGAAATTGTAGATCGTAAATACAAGTAATTGCGAGAAAAAGAACATTGAATACAGACTAGAAGCATTACATGGATGAAATGAAGACCAGCCCTGCCATCAACACGATCACGTAACCCCACACGTGACTTGTAGAACCTGCACGTCGCCCTGCCACCTTTGTCATCCTAACTCAGTCTGCTAGTTATCTTATGTGGTGTACACACTTTTGTAGGAAGAGTACCTTTATAAGTGCGACTATAAATAGAATCAAACTGAAGGGTATGCGCAACTTCAACGAGAACGTTCAAGTTTTCGTCGAGACATCTATGTACTTGAGAAAGCTGAACCGTGTGAAAGGCCTCCTTAAACGCCTCGTTTAGAGTCGGGTAAGCGTCGCACATGTGCGTAAGGCCCCTATCGGTAGCGCCGTCTTCAAGCCGATGACACACCATTTCACAGGCATTGCTGGCGATTTTGAGCACGCAAATTAGCTTGTCCATCTTCTTTTCAAGCAGCACCTTCACCAACCCGTCGGACTCAGCCACCATGCGTGCACGGCTGTTAGCCATTATCAAGTATTTTCCGACGATGTATTCCACGCCTTCCGCCTTTATAGCTCCTCCTCCGTTTTGCTCATTATAGCGAACTCTGAGACGTGTAGATGACAATGGGGATAGCACCGTAGTTCACATAGCCTGCTTACCGGCAATGTTTACCATCCTTCTCCTCGGCCTTGTAGCTCTCTTGATCACATCGCCGACGGTAAAGATATCAGGTACCTGTGTACATAAGGCGTCATAGTCTTCAATGTGGCCGAGCTTGTCCGTCTGAATGCTCATCTGTTCATTCCCAGCCCAGACGTGAAGACACGACGACCAGCAAATTTTTGATATCTTGCTCATCACCAATTGCAGTGTCGCACTCAATAGTATAAGCATCACCGTCCTCCGAAGCCGTCACCTTGGTACAGTACCACCCTAAATTTTCAGTACTGTTCTTCAGTAACTTGGTACAATTCTTGATAACCTCCTTGTACATGCCTGTACCTGCATAAAACAGAAATGATAAACTTACAAAGTGACCAAAATAAATCTCGCTTCGTGACTTGATCGAACAAGCTGCTTAGTATATTGACAGCTGATTAGAATGTACTTGTTGGAACGCTAGTATTGTTCAGCTACACATGGGTGTGCTACGAACAGATCATTTGGATAATGCCTCGAACAGCCACGAACTCCGAGCCGATTACGTAGAAAATGGCAACAGATCATCGGGGACATGTGCAATTGTGCTTCCTCCCAGCCACATAATATTATCGGGTCAATATCCTTCAGTGCATCATCACTCACCACTGTCAACATCTGTGTAAACATATATAATTAAGAGCGACCTTTATTCGCAACCCAAAATACTAAGTCGGCATGACTAGATCGAAATAAATGAAGCCAAAAGAGACATCGTCCGAGTAGCTGCTTAACACGTCAGTGTCGAACATGGCGCTAGAACAAAAGACGTCCATGTCATTGTTTGTCTCAACGTCAAGTCACGCGTAAGTTGCCAAACAGGCGAAAGCTGCTGAATTGCGCCTTGTCGTTCATGAGCAAAGAGCTTTGTCTTTTTAATATGCTTTGTAACTTTTCGACAATACACGAATGATTAATTTCTTGGCTTGGAGCCACCTCATGCTATACGTCGAGTAGGCGCCTTGGTATATTTTTAATTTGCTCTTCTTGTCAATTTTTTTTATTTCCGTATTTTATTTGGTATATATATTTAATTATTTAACATGTTTCCAACTCATTAAAGCGAATAAACGCCTGGATAAGCAAATAAATAGCCCATACTATTTGCAAGTAATGGCTGCGCGGCTTGATTCCGACAGGGACTCAGACGATGGCTTTCAAGACTTTTTGAATGAAGACGAGGAGAAGGAAACGCTGCTGAGTCAAGAAAGTGTGGCTCTGGAACGTCGAATGAAGACGGTAAGTATCCAAGGTCAGAATGGGATAAATATCGTATTTTTATATGGGGGCTCATGTACTTAATAAACAAGTAGATGGGCATTCGGGACGGTCTGGAGCTCGGCAAAGAAGGAACGCTGCAAGAAGGCTTTGACCAAGGATTTGCAGAGGGAGCGATACGCAGTTTTGGCCTTGGAAGACTCCGGGGCGCATTGGCGACGGCGGCAGCCTGTGGCCTTTTTGACGGGATGACCATGACGCAAGCATGGACTTGCATGTCTCAATTGAGGACACTCGAGAAGGACACTAGCCAAAATGATGTCCACACTGAAAATGTCACGGAACCTGAAGTACTTGCCGAGGACCTGCTGACGAGTATCAAAGTGGACCTACAAACGTCCTCCAAAAAATATTTGTAGATAGAGAAGGCAATATAGCTTGAAAAAATGTTTTCACCTAAAGAACGTGTCGTGTGAACTCGTGAAGTTGTGTCTATAGTCATGCGCCCAGTTTAGCCACGTATAATAGTGGAATAGATATTTCATCTCAAAGGAGAGATGTGTGGTTGAGCAGCACAAAAAGCAGCACTATAGAAAATATAGTGTAAATATGCCTTTAACGGTATTATATATCGTTCTATAATTGTAAAACGTTTCCGTTTAGTCGTATAGTTTCTCTGCCTCTCAGTGTATAGAGTTCTCAAAAATCTGACATGGTGTCAGTGTAAGTAGATTATATTGTGTCAGTATAATCGGAGGGAGGGTACCTGGTAGCACTTCGTGGTCTGTTCAATGACCAACGACTCATCCGTTATTAAATTAACGGATGACATCTAATATTTGATTGTTCTCGGATGGTATGTATGGCTGATACCGTCGGTGCCATGATGCTATCTTTTAGTGAAGTCGAGCAACATGCAACCACCGCCAAGTTTATACAACATGAACTTGACGTAGCAGTGCAAAGCTTATTTTACTAACGCAGCAAGGCGCTCAACAAGCTGACTTGTTGAGGCAGCAGGCTTCTTAAATTTAAGGCTGTTAAGATAACAGCAAGCAAGAGCTGCTGCCGCCAGGCCGATGCATATGCGACGACTTGTATAGACGGGCACTTCTACGAAGTTGCCTCGTGCTACTAGCACACACCTTCAGCACAAGCGAGGAAAAGGTTAGACCGTCTTACCTTCGCGTGCGAGGGTGGTTAGTGAGGTTGGTCGACTGCTTAAGCAGTCGTACCACCAGTTACCTCTCGCTTAAACGAGAGTGCAACGAACTTCTTAACAAGAAGGCACCGACGTCACGCAGAAGCTTTTCAGCTTCTCGTGCGTGGTGCGTATGTTTAAGCAAATTCAAGACTGAGCTATATTTAATTAATTATAACTAAATATATACTTAACTACTGATTGGCTATATATATATGGGTCGAATGTTCATTGCCTACTGGCATCACTTGCCAGTACCGGTGCTCGATGCACTACAGTAACTCTGCTAAAGCTTGTGTACTAGCTGGTTACTGCTTCCGGATGTCAAGTGCATTGGTAGGGTAGCACCGCAATAAAATTTGAGACAGCATTTGTAAATGACAACAGTGTGACAGTGGATCTGCGTGGTTGTTGATGCAAAACGCTTTGTTCGGTTGCGCTTGTTCGGTTGCACTTGTTCGGTTGCACTTGTTCGGTTGCATTTGTTCGGTTGCGCTTTATTGCTGCCTACCGTCGAGCACTTCATGCCTCCGGGTACATGTAACTCGCCGTGTACATTGTTCACAAATGATTGACACCCCTTTGTTCTGCGTTGTCAGCCATAATGTCATGACTATGGCTGCCATGGAGTCGTTGTCGTCAATACTTCGTTGATTGTTTTGGTTTTAGCTCGATGATTCTATTTGTTATTACGCTCAACGTGGGACGTTAGTGAGGTCGCTTCAGCTCTGGCTGTTGCCGCTTCCACTACGTTATCAGTGAGTGGATCTCTTGTGGCTGGCATTGAAATGTCTAGCCCGCGCCGGTAATCGACAATAGAGAAAATTGTTGTGGTGTCTGACAACGATACAAAGAGAAGCCACGGCGATGAAGGCGGTCCCTTCCGGACTGAATCCTCAATTACTCCCCGTCGGTCCTCATTGGTGTATCATGGCGAGTCTAAATCAGAGCTTTTAACGTCGACGGGATAGCTACTGAGGTCATGATATGGTGATAGTAAGCAAGTACTTGACCATTGTGGCGGCGGTGGCAAAGTTTTAAGCTTAAGCCGGGTAGGGTTTTCTGACTATATAATTTTGATTGCTAATGTGGGTGGAGATGGCGTGAATC